TAAAGTTTGTGTGCCTTCATTATGATTTTTTTCTGTGTATATAGCTTAATGTATTTATGTGATATATGTTTAGAAAATCTTATAGAAATTTTAATCATAGAAAAAATTGTGATTTTTCTTCTCTTCATCATTTGCCCCTCAGTTTCCAAGCAAATTTGCATTATGGCTAATTACTTTTTGGTAAAATTATTGTAGTAATATAGTATGCATATATTATAAATTCGTTATCTTTTCAAACCTAAGATATTTAAATTACTTCCAGTATTTATTTTATGAATATCTGCCATAAATTTTGAATCTGCTCATCTTGATTTATTTTTGGTTTATATACTTTCATGTAAGTATACTGTGAAACCAACAGCAATATGCATTTTTAAAATGCTTGATATATTTTGCTCAATGCCTTTCCATTTTAAAATACACAGGTATTGTCTCAGAACTGAATATTTAATGGAAAAGTAAGCAATTTGTGACAACAATTTATATAATAATTAGAGAATACATTTCACAACTATTGACATCAATTTAAATCACTATGCAAGTTAGGAGCAACAGCTATTATTAGTAATTATCTCTATTTTACTACTAGTTATCCTCTTCCTTAATTATCGTCCTTCTCCTACTCTCTTCCCTGTCTTACTGGCACTATCATGTTGCCTTAAAGTAAATGGGGAAATTTATTAATAGGGTTAGACTACACAGAATTTTCCTTAATCTTACCTCTCCTTTTGACCCTTGTGAAAGTTATCTTAAACAATTTTCATTCAATGTAAATATCGGGTTTTATCTATGAATAAAATTTCAATTTTATGTTGGTGTTAATGAGAAGGTAGACAAAAAAGATCATATAATAGTGCACTAAGAAACCTTGCTTTTCCTTTAGTTTTAAAAGTATGATATTAAAGTAAAATATAGTTGGTTCTTATGTTCCCTCATAAGGAATATTATTTTATATTCTGGCAGAATTCTTTTGCAAATTATATCTAAAGTTAGTTTTGAGACACACATTG